TATTGATTATACATGTAAACTCATGCTAACTGTATTTCCATATTACCATGTTACAAAAAAAAACACAAGAAAAATAAGGTTTTAAAAAAAGCATGCTTCAATCTACATTCAGAATTGTCAGTTCTCTCTCTGGAAGTGGATAACATTTTTTTTTATCATGGGTTCTTTGGAATTATCTTAGATCATTGTCTTGATCAGAGATGATGGAATTTTCAATCCTGACAAATGAATCTAATTCATAAAGGTATGTCAATATAACCTATAAGGGTTTATCAACATTGCCATTCTGGACAGGTCTGTTGGTATCTTTGGAGAAAAAGAAAAAAAAATTACAACCAAAGTTTGAAATAGAAATTGAAGGAATACACTGATCACCTCCTGAAAGAGATCCCCAAATGAAAACTCTAGGGAATATTATAGCCAAATCCCAGAGCTTCTAAGTCAAGGAAAAAATACTAAATGGAACTGGAAAGAACATATTCAAATACTGTGGACATACAGATTTAACAGCTAGCAACTTAAAGGAATGGAGGACTTGGAATAATCTACCCAGTAAAACCATGTATATTTAATGAAATAGAGGGTTTTCAAGCATTCCTGATGACAAGACCAAAGCTGAATAGAAAATTTGACACTCAAACACAAGATTCAAGAGAAGCATAAAAAGGTAAACATGAAAGAGAAATTATAAGGGACTTAATAAGGTTAAAACTGTTTATATTTCTACATAGGAAGATGATATGTGTAACTTCTAAGAATTTTGTTATTATTAGGACAGTTAAGAGCATTCCACATAGATAGAAGGTATGGATGTGAGTCAATTATGTTGGGATGATTTCACAAAAAGAATGGAAGGGTGAGAAAGAAGGATGTACTGGGAAAAGGAGGAAGGGAGAGGAAGAATGGGGGAAATTATTTCACAAAAAAAAGAGATTTTCAAGAGTGTTTGCAGAGGAGAGGAAAATGGGTTGGAGGTGGGCAACCAGTGAAATTCACTCTCATCTGAACTGATTCAAAGAGGGAAGAATACATGCATACACACACACACACACACACACACACACACACACACTCAGTTGGGTATAGAGCTCTATCTTACCCATCAGGGAAGTAGGAGGGGAAGGGACTAAGAGACAAGGGAAGTGATAAGAGGGAGAGAGGACTAAGAGAGGCAGTGGTTAGATGCAAAACAGACTTTTGAGGAAGAAGGAGAGAGAGAGAGAGAGAGAAACAGAAACAGAGAGAGAGAGACAGAGAGAAAAGAAGAAGAAGAAGAAGAAAGAAGAAGAAGGAGAAGAAGAAGAAGAAGAAGAAGAAGAAGAAGAAGAAAGTAAGATGGAAGGATGGAACATATTTACCTTAACTATGCATATGAATGGGATGAACTCACCTATTAAATGGGTAGGGATAGCCAAATGGAGTAGAAACCAGAATGTTATGTTGCTCACAAGAAACACACTTGAAACAGAAAGACACTCACAGAGTTAAAATAAGGGACTGGAGCACAATCTATTAAGTTTCAGCTGAAGTAAGAAAGGCAAGAGTGGCAATCATGATCTCAGACAAAGCAAATGCAAAAACAGACTAAAAGAGATAATCAGGGAAACTACATTTTCCTAAAAGGTACCACAGACAATGAAGTAATAGCAATATTAACCGTATATGCACCAAACAGAACAGCATCCAAATTCTTTTTTAAATATATTTTATTTTCTTCCATTTATATGTTAAAACAATTTTAAACATTTTTTTAAAGTTTTCAGTTCCAAATTCTATCCCTCCCTCCTTTTTCCTCCTCCCTCCACCCTGAGACAGTAAGCAATCAGATACAGGTTACACATGTGAAATCATGTGAAATATTTCCATATTAGTCATTTTGTACAAGAAGACTCTAATAAAAGAAAACTCAAATCAGCTACAAAGGACCTATAAAGATGCTACCCACCTCCAGAGAAAGAACTGATAAATAGAAGTATGTATAGTACAGTTTTATACACATACACACACACATACATACATACATATATGTATATATACATATATATTTGTGTTTAATGGTGGCCTTCTCTACTGTGGAGTAGTAAGGAAGGGAGAAAAAAAATAAAAAGTTCAGAGGAAAGAACAAAAGAAATTTTGGAAGAAAACACAGAAAAGCAGGGTGGCTTTGAAAACAATGTGTAGTATTTATTACATCATTTCTCAAAAAAGAAGTAAACAGTGTGAAATAGAGATTCATGGTTTCATATTGAATCTTCTCTTTGAGTTGTGTTGTGTAAATGGAGACTTTCTTTGTCTTTTTGTTTTTAAGTTCAAAATGAATTAAAAATGTTTTAAAATAGCTTGTTGTCCTAAGGAATAGGAAGAAAATCTACTTACTTCCTCTTCTATTCCACTCCTCACATTCGCAGAAAAACAGAGATCAAAAATGAGAAAAAAAGGGGCAGCTATGTGGCGCAGTGAATAGAGCTCTGGCCTTGGAGTCAGGAGGACCCGAGTTCAAATCCAGCCTCAGACACTTGACACTTACTATCTGTGTGACCATGGGCAAGTCACTTAACCCCAATTGCCTCACCAAAAAGCAAAAAAAGAGA